CAAGGTCAAACGACGGCAACGCCAAACGGTTTGCAAGCTGCACATTGAGCACCCGCCAAGGTGACAGAAATTTTGTAAAACGATTAATAGCCGACAGCGACTTGAACGTTAGCATAGCAGCAGAAAGGCTATGCTGGTAAATTTGCATATTCACGTAAAGTCTAGATAACGGCAATGCAATTGAAAGAACCTTGTATAGCGGCAATAATTCCATTCTAATGTTACGACAAAAACTGTGTTAATTTTTGTTCCTCAATTTTCTGTAATCGCGACGAGGAAAATTTAACTGTAAATAATTGTAGTGAGTAAGCCAGTCAATAACGTGTTCTGCTTAAAACCGAAGATTCTGTGTAGAAAGGGGATATAATTTAGTTTCACAGTCATAGGGGTTGTTTAAACGGTGCTGGCCGATCAATAGATATCGTGCACGGGCATTTGTGGTAACGTAGAAAGGAAATAGGGAAAAGTACTCGAACAAGAGTGAAAAACCATAATATTTAAAGAGTGTGAACAGTATTGTAATTCCGAATTGAGTCCTTATGTGCAACTTGATATTTGGAATTGTTGTGTATTCTTTGTCAGTACTGATAAATGTATTATATTATGGAGAATATAATCACTGTTTTACCTACATCTGTGTCCGTATGTAAATCTTTCTCATGCCCCAAAATATCCTGCCCCTTGAGATTACAAATATATATATATATGTATATATATATATATACATATGCAATATACAATATATACATATATTGTGGCGTTATGGGATAGTGCAACCCCATAACACCACCGTCTCGTATGTATGAACACCCACAGGCAGTGAGGATAACAGGCGCGGAAAGCAGAGGTTCTTAAACGCGCGGCCTGGTATCCGTTGCCCGTACTAAACGAAAGGCGAACTAGCGAGCAAGGTTTTCCTTATGAAGGTTGAGAGAGGGGAAGCAGCCCCACTGAGAATTTCCCCAGGCGTCGGACGATAATACGCGAACCCGCAAGCGGAAAGCTCTCTTTTCTTGCCACCACTCCTCGAGTAAGCAGCTCTTCTCTTTGGATTCCCGATCGCCGAGCCAACACTTTCGTTAACATTAGTTTTAGATATTTGTTTGCCGCTGCAACGACTACTAGGTAGGAGTATTCGGCGTCGAACAGACGTTCTAAGTCAGTCGTCCGCGTGATAGTGCAGATTCAGTAAGAGTGTTTCTGTCAATTAACGACACGGGAAGTAAAAGTTACCACGTTGTGAGAGAAGCATTGAAAGTTCTGATTTAGCAAAGTAGAAGTAGCAACGAGCGAGGAACTTGCACGAGTATTCGGAGAAGTGCAAGGGACATTTTTCGGCAACGTGGATTTATCAAAGGCGCCGGGTAGCAGTCGAGGAGACGAGGAAGAACGGAAGAGGACGCAAGAAGACAGCGTAGATGGCAGAGGAGAATCCGCGTCTCTTACGACCGCAGAAGCTAAGGACCGAGCGACGTCGACGCAAGAACCAGCGCGCACATGCGACCATCAAGGCCAAAAGTGGGAAGTCCACGAGGTAACGCTTAGGGCGCGGAAAAGTAGGTCAAGTTCCACGTCGGCAGGGAAAAACTAGTATAGGAAAGTGTTAAGAAATTGAGGACACGGTGGCAAGAATCGGCAGTATCGTAGTAGGAGATATTTCGACGCCCCTATTGCCTGCATAAACATTCTAGCTTAGGAATTTTTATTTCTGCTATTTTCAACACAGTTAAATGTGTAAATGAGAGGTAGTGCACGTTGACACATTTTGTTCTTTGCATGTAATATTTTGATAGGACAGAATTGTAAATTGAAATTTTGCGTTTCAAATGTGGCAATGTAATTGAATAGCATAAATTTAGATATAATTATTTCCCATAGGGAATTCCCAGTTGTAGATTCAGGTAATTAATTTCAGAGTATCATTTTGGAGTAATTATAATGTTTTCATTCATATGAGTGTGTTTGTAAATAGGTTTCCTATTTGTTGTTTCATCATTTTTTGTAAAGTGTGATTCATATTCTTAGTTTTTTGTTATGACTGATGCACTAAAGTTTTATGGGTAAATTAACGGCTGCGTTTGTATGCAATTTGTGTGATTTCTATGTGTCAAGGTTCAAACCTTTCTTGCACCCTGAAGATCCTGCTCCCTAGATATTTTAAGGCCTCGCTTCACGAGCAAAATCATTCATAACCGCGCTTACGGTTCATGCGTGTTGCTGTTGAAGGTGTAAGTTTGGGGTGGAAGGTGGGTTATCTTAGGAATATATATATAGTATATATATATATATATATATATATATATTATATATATATACTATATATATATATATATACTAGGCCGGATGGCAAGGACGCACCGGACGGAACGGAACAGAACGGACACTTCAGACAGTTTCTGATTGAGTTAGACTCCTCGCTCCATGTCTTGTCTTAAACGCGACCGTGTCATAATTTAAGTTAAGAAGCAATCGCAATGTGTTCTTTTTTATTAGGAAAAAGTAAGACAAGTACCTGAAGAAAGCCCAGGTTCTCTACTCTTCTAAACAGAACGAGAATAACATAAGGGGAATTTGACTTATTATGCTATATTCCGACCTGGTGGATAATGAAAAATCAGGTACACAGAAAGAAAGGTTGTCAGACCCAAAGACTTGACACATGTCGACCTTTACGTATGTCGACGTGCTGAATCTGAATCTGAAACCAGAATTACGCTACCGCCCTCCAGTTTTTTAAAATTGCAAAAAACACAATGAAATTTACAATCTACAATTTCACGTTTTTTTCGCAATTTAACAAAAAACTGGATGGTGCTGGCGGAATTCTGGCTTCAGATTCGGATTTAGTGCGTCGACGTAATACATGATGTACGTACTAATTTGTCAGTTACCGGCACGTCAGCAGGAAGAAGTTTTCCAAAAATCCTGCACCACCTCCCAAAAATAACAAAAGGGGTCTCAACAATTCTTTGATTCTGTAATTGCTCCGTAACAGCTCCGCAATATTATTCTACTACACGACCCTGCAATAGTGTTTTCAACCAGCAATATTTTTCTGCGTCGAGACTCGACCTCAAGGTTTCTAGTTAATTCGCCGCGCGGTTTACTGCAACACTACGCAGTCGCTTTGACGAACTCATTTAGGCCGACGCTTAAAAATTGTATCCTCTCCTATTTTTTCCAACATGGAATATTCGAAAATTCAGAGAGTTCAACAAAAAGGATACCTGCCCCATTCTTTTCAGAGTTCCTTGCTTTATCCATGGAAAGAATAAAATAAAAAATGGAGTGTTTTTTGAGAAAATGTTTTTATTATAAACTCCATTAATTTCAAGCACAAATTATAGAGAAACTTCTCGCTTTTCCAAAAAATTGTACAATTTTTTAAAGATTTAAATTTTTAAAAACATATTTTATTTCAGGCAAAAGACTCTATTTTTAGATTTTCTCTAGAAATATTTTGGCTATTTTACTTTTTTAATTAGCTAAGATTCCATTAAGGACAAGGGCCTCCTGCCTTTTGCTAGGAATACTGAATGAAGTGACAGGGTGATGATGAAGGGGGAAAGGACGAACACAAATACAACCATGTCCGAGGTGGGACTCGAACCCGCGATTCTTCGGCGCGAGCTAACCACGGCACAAATGTCTTATCGACGGCCACAGGGATCGGCCATTTTCATTATTAAAAATAATAAAATCATTAAAAAATAATAAAATTATTAAAATATAATAATTCTAGGCAAAAAATAGAAACTTAATGACAGTTTAAAGAAATTGAACAAAAATATCTATCTACAATTTTTTTGTTATGAAATTATAACTTTTTCAATTTTCGAAAATACAGAGAGTTCGTCGGAAAAGAAATGACACCATTAATTTTACAGTTCTTTGATACATACGAGGAAAAAATTAGAGAGAAATGTGATGCATTTTGGAGAAAATAATTGTTTAAAAATTGCCTGTATTTCACGCAATATTACTAGATTAGATTAAGATTAGACTAAGATTAAGAAAACTACCTTTTTTTCTTAATCTTAGCCTTATTTCAAAATGTCATTAAAGAATCGATTTAATTCAGGAAAAAATATCTATCTTCAATATTATTGTCGTAGGAAAATGCCAAACAAATGTAGGGGACCAAGGGGTACAGTGAACCACAGAGTACTGTGGACCATTGCATATAATTGTAGTTGTTGAGAGAAATTTTATTTGAAATTGTAGAATGTTTGGCATCACTGCCTGTGTGCCTCATGTGAAGACTGGAAATAGCTACCTAGGATACATACTATTCTATTTGATATTTTGTAATATGAGATACGAATTCCATATTTTTATGAAGTAGAAGAAAGACCTATACACTTTTTGCATTATGAAAAATTGTTAATTTAAAAAATAATCAAGATGATGAATCGTCCTCCACTTTTTAATTGCAATAACTGCAGATATATTTCTCTTTCGTGGTTAACTTCTAAATTCAAAATCATATAGAAATGTGTCCATGATCCTGAGCAGCAGGGGTATGAGTTATCTATAAGAACTTTAGACATTGCGAAAGAAACCAGAGTGACAATTTTGGCTCTTCTTTCACATAAATCATGTAAGTTGCAGCCACATCATGTATTATGCTATAGTCCTAAATATTTTATAATGATGTACTTAGTTTATGTATACTAAATCTTCAAGGAAGGCCAGTCACAATTTACCATGTATGTGAAGTCCTCCCATGAAAGGACTCTCAACCCATACAATATTATTGCTGATTCTGGAAACATTTTCCCCTGTAACAGATATGTTTTTGAAGATTCTGATTTTATGATATATGGAGTTACAAATATAGAGAGAAGAGGGCTTTGATTCAATGCACTCAAAATCCAGTTCTTAAGAAGACACGTTTCTATCTAATCCAGTAAAGAACGGTTTAGAATAACAGAGAAAGAAGGCAGTGAAAAATAATCAGGTAAAACAAATTAAGAAAAAAATATTTTGCAATGATTCAGACTTGCAAGATTCTGCCATGAAACTGAAGAGAGTGTCTTCAACAGATAGAGTTAATGTTATCCATCCTGTAGAGGAATATTTCTCAGCATTTGAGAGAACAAAAGTAAAGGTAGATGACTTTGTTTTAGTTTCATTTTCAAATTATAAAGACAAAAAAATGTTCTACGCTGGTAAATTTAAAGAAGACAAGGAGGAAGAAGGTAATTACAAAAATCTTATTTAAAGAAGAGCCATAAATTTGTAAAACATCACTATTATCCTGAAGAAGAAGATATAGAAGGTGTGTATAAGTCTACAATAAAGATGCACTTAGGAAACCCACTACACTGTGGGCACACCACACCCAGATGTCATATCTTTTCTTCCCAATGAGTTTTGATAATCTGGGGAAAAAAGGTGATTAATAGTTCTATTAAATGTATATTTGCAAGTGTTCAAATCATTTATGCATTCCTATTTAATTGCAATGTTTTGACTATATTGTATAGGTGAAAAATGTATTTTGAATTAATAAATACATGGTTGGGGGCAGGAAACCAGTGTGCATTCTTCAAAAAAATAGGTTTTGTAAACCTGCAGAAGTAAAGATTAAAAAGTTTAGAGTTTCTTAGGCAAGATAAAATATTAACACATGTTTTATATCAAAAAGTACAAAGTTCCTCTATGTTATGTTTTTGTAATATGTAAATTTAAAAAAAGAGGTTCACTCTTTCTCTGCTTCCCTAAATGATTTATTTTTATTTTATTTTATTTTCAATTTAACAGACAATTTGTTCCAATTACTACAAACAATTTTACAGATAAATAATTACAACCCAATAACTCAAACTACAATCAAGTTCAGTTCACATTATTACATCAATAAATGTGATTTTAGAAAACAAAAACACAGACTAGACTAGATTAGAGTACTACAACAAAAATTATAAGAATAGAAACATAAAGAAGATGCTAATTTTAAATACAGCTCACATTGACAGTAATACAGAAAATAAACAAAGCAAAAGAACGAAGCACTATAATGAAAATTACAAGAATATTGGCATAATAAAGAGAATCATAAAAACATTAATTACTAAGAATAAGAAATCATACCAATTTAAAAAGTTTACTCTTCACTTCATTGCAGAACACTGCATCATTTGACAAAAAAATATTTAAATTAAACTTATTGGCATCTATACACTTTCTGCTAATACGGTTGTTAGCTGTGTACGAATGCTTATAAAACTTCTGAGCAAAAATTTGTAGTCTTCTAGTTTTGAAGTTGGGAACTTTAAAAATTTTAAAACACAATAGATTCATCAAAAGTGAACAATTAATAGTACCACTTAAAAGTTTTCGCAAAAACAGCATATCAACATAATCTCTATAAGATTTTAATGCAGGTATGTTCAAACACTAAGCTACAAGACTGTAATCATGGGTTTTAAAAGGATCCTGAATCTCTGCAAGGTATGCAGCAAGTCTAAAATACTTATGTTGGATTATTTCAACTCTAGAGATACTGTTCGAAAAACAAGGTGACCAAACAACCAATCAAGAGTAAATAAGTACTGGTCTAATCAAAATCAAATAAAGTTATCTCAATATTTGTAATGAGTGAAAATCATAGCTTGTGCACTTAATAAAGACTAACATCTGACTGGCCTTATTATCTGTAATATGAAAATGATTTTTAAAAGACATATTGGTGTCAAAACTAACACTAAGATACCGTACAAACATTGATGATGAATTGATGGAAATTGTTCTATTATTTTCTTTATTCTCATTTTGTAGAGTAGAACTCTTTGTTTGTTTCCTAACAGAAAAACTTGTAGTATTGCAAAAAGGTAGAAAAGTAATTTTTGTTGTTTATTTGTTATTAATTTGCCCTTTATACAGAATTTGTGAAATGCAACATTTTTCACAATGTTTGTATTTAGGATATATGACCTCATTTCGGAAACTGCTCCATAAAATTAAAGTTAATTGACTATAAAATAATAAAAATTTGGAAACTAATTCTTATCATGTCCATACATAAAAATAAATAAACTTTATTACTTAAGACATTAATATCTTCCTCGCATTTCGTGAAACTGAGATATACAACCTTCTTTGAGGACGATCTTCAACTTTAGACATCAACAATGAATCCCAATGCCCTCAAAAGTAATGAATGAAAATTGCATGCTTATACAAAGAAAATTATACTCAAAGTTATTAAATTCATGGAAAATGAAGCTTGTGCAAGAAAATTTCAATTCTCTTTTGTAGTGAAAGAACAAGGATCGGTGGTGCAACTGGCATTTCTATTTGTATGATATCAAACAATAAAGTAGTGCTACAACAGCACATTCTTTTCCTTATTAATTCAAAATTTACAATTTTCGAAACTTCAGAGAGTTCAGTGAAAATGAGACCTGTGCTGTTCTTTTAAGCATCCTTTTTTCTAACCAAGAGAATAAATTGTAGAAAAAGTTTAGTGTCGTTTTTGAGAAAATGTTTTTTTCTTATAATTTGCATTAATTTCAAGTAGAAATCACAGGAAGAATACTCGTTTTTTCAAATAATTTTACACAACCCTTTTAAAAAATGTGTTTTTACAACATTTTCTTTGTTAAGAAAGTCTCCATCATCAATATTGTACCTTTGTGCCATTGTAACATTTTTGAGACAGTTAAGAAATTACAAGTTGGTGATAGTGCAAAAAACTATCAACATTTTATTTTCAGTATTAAATCACTGTTTTAATAAAATTACTTAACAAATAATAATTTCTGTGACGATTCGCGATTCCCATAATTTGAACGTTTCTAGTACGGCGTATTGAATAATTTTAAATATGTGCTTCAAATTTTATTTCATATTTTCAATTCAACTTCAGTTAATATTGTGCTTTCTATTTACGGTGAAGTGTAGTGTATCCATTATATAAAATAGTTTCAGCTTAAGTGGCTCGTACTCCACATTAATGCATTGCCACTGTTCGTAAGTAGTACTTCGTTTCAATTCAATTTTGTAGGAGGCGTACCCTCGTAAATCCATGTCGATTCATAATTTTTAATTTCTTGAATAAACGCCAATTCTAGTTTCGAAATATTAAGCTAGGAACTTGTTGCTCATGACTGAGTATATTAACTTATATTTCCTATTTTATCATGTTCATTAAAACGCATTTGTAACATGGCTACTGCTCATTCTGTACTTCTGACTCTCTACGCACTCAAAGCTGACATTCTGAACGTCTTCACACATACAAACAATAATTTAAATCAATATATTCGAATGTTGAAAAAGGTCGTTCGCTACAGAGAAGTTTGGTCACAATTTCACTGCGAATCTGATCAAATGTGCAATCGTGACTGCACACAAGAAATAGACAACACGTCCAGTCACATCCCAAAATCAAATTTAGTGTTTTAGATTATGAAACAGAATATCCTCCTCCTTCTGATCCCCACAACCCTGCTCTACCATCAACAAAGACTTACACAAACAAACACAAAGAATCTAGGAAGCGCGTCAAAACAAAACGTAAATTGCCGATTCGGTGGCCGAGATCGCTAAGGCAGTAGTGCCGTAGCGAACTCGGACCGAAGGATCGCGGGTTCGAGTCCCGCCTCGGGCATGGTTGTATTGTGTTTCGTCCTTTCACCCCCTATCATCATCATTATCGTGTCAACCCACAGTTACCATACCGTTACAAGCAATAGTGGTCGCTAATGACCTAGTAGTTGATGCGACCTTAAATTTAAAAAAAAAAAAAAAAAAAAGGGTAAATTTTCGCACCCTAGCCCACCTGACTACAAAGACATTCCAAATGAGCCTAAAAACAGGTAATACTAAGAGTACGGATAAGATGGTAAAAGTTCACGAAAATCAAATTACTTTGGTGGTTAGATTATTCACATTATTTTATCTGTTCGAAAAAATATGGTTAATAAAGGTTTTTGTGTCGATGGTTTCTTATGTATTCCCCAAAACTATCGGCTTTCCTGAGTGTACACAGTCCGTCACACAGAAAGGGTGACTGACGTGAAATAATATACAAGCCCGTTTATTCTAATGTAAACTTCCCTCCACAATAATTGGCAGGTGAAATTCTATCTTCCCAACCTCCCAAACAAACATGGACACCCTTCAATCCGGGAGAGGGGTGCGTTGACAATCGCTACAGTCAGAACCTTAGTGGCTACGTGGTTGGCTCAAAATCCCATGGGGCGGGAACGACGCTGTTCTCGGGGACAGGGGCCTCGATTGTTCACGTATGAGATAGAAATATCATCTTTCCCTGCCGAAGGAGAGGTTTTGCTAGTGCGTACTCAATGTCGAATAAATATTTCTGAGCAGGGGTTGTCCAGAATTATTATCAATAGACCACTAAATATTTAACATTTTAGCCACAATTATACTATATTTTAGCAATCAATTTGTAACTCGGTCAAAGTGCTGTATTAAAATGTTCATCTCAGGCATAATTTGTGGAGCCTTTCCGGCCGTTCAAGCGCATATTTCAAATTTGCTTATAAAATTGAAAATTGTTGCAAAAGTGTTAATTCGAGGTTTCCGGCTCTGAGACATCGGGGGACTCTCTCCCCTTTAGATATGCAAACGTTGGAAATTGTTTATATATTTGCAAATGTTTAAATTTTTTATTGTCTCCTCTAAATCTCCTATACACGCAATACAAAATTCCGGAATTCGATCAACGCCATCAACTTCCGTTCTCGAGATATATAATTGTTTAACAGAAATTAGCATCCCATAAACACCCCAATTTTTTGCATTCATTCCATTCGCTCTCCACACACAAATATACTGAAAAGAGAGGATTGCAATGCATCGTTTTGATTGTTCGCTTAACACGCTCAATGCCGAGGGCAGAGGTGATATCGCAGCCTCAGTAGCGCCTCGAGGCGAAAACGGTGCCACTGAGCGAAATGATATTCATTACAATTTCGTCGAAAAAGAAAATAAACTAACAAGATGTACCGTTTTTTGGTAGTTACGTGGGATCATTGCAGTAACAATTCCTGACTCACGGCAACTATGACTGTTTTTTAAAGATTAAACCTTTCATTTTCATTCTTAACAACCATTAAAACTCCTTTTTCATTATTTTACTTCGCTTAAGTGTTATTAGTATACAAACATATTATCTGGTACATTAAATAACGCCGAGACAAGCAGTTTTAGGGCGAATATGAACAGA